CCCCCAGCTTGAGAAATGCTGAGCATGTTCTTCCTTTTTGGTTTTCTGATTCCAGATCTTTGCACATTTTCTTGTAATATTTGGCTTTATCTTCTCGAGCTGATCTTAGAAATTTTCTGTTCAGCTCTTGGACCTCCTTATTTCTTCCATTTGTATTAGCATCTCTACGCTGGAGAACAAGTTTCACTGTCTCTTCTGATACCCATTTTGACCTTTTCCTTCTTTCTTGTCTTCTCAATGAGTTTTTGCTCTCTTCATGTATGATGTTCTTGATGTCATCCCACAACTCTTCTGGTCTTCGGTCTTTAGTGTTAAATGTTTCAAATCTGTTCTTCTGATGATCTCTAAATTCAGGTGGGATAAATTCAAGGTCATATTTTGGCTCTCATGGACTTGTTTTTATTTTCTTCAGCTTCAGTTTTAATTTGCATATCAGTAATTGATGGTCTGTTCCACAGTCTGCCCCTGGCCTTGTTTTCACTGATGATATGGCTCTTTCCCATCTCTTTCAGCAGATGTAGTCAATTTGATTTCTGTGTGTTCCATCTGGTGAGGTCTCTGTGTATAGTCTTCTATGAACTTTATGTAGCAATATTGTTTACGTACCCTTGTAGTTTTGCTGTTTAAAACTTTTTGTATTTCATTGTTGCTTTTGCTTCTTTAAATTGAATAATCTCTTTGACCATTCAGTACAGAGCCTTGCCTCTCCTTTTTGTAAGTCTATGGAACACTTATCCTTCTGATGAGGAATGAGTGGTAACTGAAGTTTTCATTCCCCTCCACAGCTTACCACGCTGAGAGGAGCAATTCTAGAAGATGCCATCCCTTCCACTGCACGGCATGGCACTGCACGTGGACTGCCTCTCAAAGAAGTTCTGGAATATGTCATCCCAGAGCTGAGCATTCAGTGCCTGAGACAGGCTTCAAACTCACCCAAGGTCTTGGAGCAACTACTCAAGCTTGATGAACAAGGGGTGTGTATAATGTGGGTTTGGTAGTTTGTGTCCATGTGTCTAAATGTTTGGAAATGTTTCTCTTTCTTTTATAGCCATTTATTTTTAAAGCCACGGAGCATTCATATTAGTTAGGCAAAATGGTGCCCTTATAGTAGAATACGGCTTTTGCTGAGTTATGCCTTAGATTGTTTTTACCAAAATTTTACTAAGTTCCAGCTTTCAAGAGGACATTTGATTGCTTAATTATTAGTTGTAGGTAACTGTCTATTTCCACGTGAATCTGGTGTGGCGCTCTAGGGTAAGCACCTACCTGATTGCTAACCACAAGGTGGGCAGTTCAAACCGACTAGCCACTCTTTGGAAATGCTTTACAGGGTCACTATGAGTCAGAAATCAATAGCACTTTAACATCAAAAAAGTCAAGCTGGCCCTTTCCCTTAACTGACAATTATTATTATCTGTTATGTGTGGTTCAAGCTCACCAGGTGCTCCTCGGAAACCCTAGACAGGGTCTCTATGGATCAGAACCGACTCCATACCATTTAACAACAACAACATTATTTGCAAGGTATACTAACAGATGGGTAAACAGCATACATTGGGAAGTTTGAAGGTGATCAAGACCTAGCCCACAGAGACAAGAAGACCAAGAACACAGAGGCCCCTATAAGGGAGTATGTTCATCGATCTTGGAAGGGCATAGGTATAGTAAGTGCTTTGGGAAAAGAAGAAATAACATCTGGTTCAGTAAATCTCTTGAGGGAGGTGGCATTTAACTGGGCCTTTAGGCTTAGGTAGGATTTCAAGAGGGAAATAAAGTAGTTGGCTGTTTAAGAAAACTGCTGAATCTAGTTTCTTTACAGTAAAAGGATCCTTGTAGAGAGTGTGAGAAATAAAACCAACAAAGTAAGTGAGGTTGATGGATGTAAGACCTTAATTCTAGATTAAGGAGATTGCACTGGATTTAGGAGGCTTGCCCTCAGAAGGTGGCGTAATCAGAGTGAGATTTTAGAAAGATTATCCTGATATGCTTGTGAGATTCAAGACTGGTGGTAGCCTTATGAGAAATGTTGGTTGCCGACATTTTTCCCTTACCGACAAATGCTCCAAGAACTCCAATCTATACTCATTTTAGTGAAAGTGAAGTTTTCTTTATTCAATTTTGCAAAATCAAGCACCCACGGGCAGACACAAGGCATGGCTGGCTCACAAAGAATTTTATTCCCCTGTCTTGAGAAAGACCCTCCTCCGGTCCCCCTTTAACTGAGTACTATGGACTGTACCGGAATCCTGGTGTGGGGCTGTGGGTTAATGCGCCAGAATACAAAGCTGTTTGGACTGCAAGGTCGTCAGTTCAAGCTCACCAGCTGCTCCTCAGAGTCTCTATACAGGGTCGCTATGGGTCGGAATTGACTCAGCGGCACTTAAAAACAACAACATGGATTTTACTTACCATCTCCCTGGAAAGAACGTGGCCTACTAGTCCTTGCTGGTAGCATTCTCATGTAAAGTTAGCTTCCCTCCTCCTCATGAAAGTCCCCTAGTTCCTTGATGGATGTATTTTTTTTTTTTTAATGATTCACAGTTTTAATGTTCAGAGTTAGTCATACCAGGACCTCAAGCTCAATTATATAAATTTTCAATCTGCTGATGAGGCCAGTAGGGATACTTGGTCTTGTCTAATTTGGTTTCAGGGAACACTTCGTTGAAGTCATCAGTGGTCATCTGGTCAAATGGAATAATGTTCCCCATCTTCTTTTTCTTCAGTGTCCACCAGGACAGTAAGCCTATCTTCTGGCACCGGGATCTTCAGGACTTTAAACTTCTTCTTAGAGTCGTCCACTAAGCCAGCCTTGGCCACATTGGCCTTTTATAGTAATCCTAGTCGATAGCTGGTGGTGCCTCAGGTAGAGCAGCCAACCTAGAGGTGAGGAGCTCATTCCAAGATTTCAGGAAGTTAGCAATAGCCTCTTGGTTTCAGGGTATGATTTCCCCAAAATATATCCAGTCAATGATTTTTAGAGCAAGCTTTTGCCCAGACATCTTGAGATCCTTCACTGTCTCCGGAAGCCCTCATCCCCAGCAGCAAGTAACAGAAGTGGGTCACTGGAAAGCTTCTGTGGGTGTATTCTTATATTCAAATTTCTTGCCAAACTGGTCTCCTCCTCTCCCCTGAGCTCCCTTTGTTATGCTAGTCTGCTAACCCCAAGACCCCTTAGTTCTGATGACAGACCACCCCAAGATCTATTTCTTAGCCCAATTATGTGATTATTGGATAACCCTGGGATTGTGGCCTCAGAAGTTTTATAGCGGAAACAGAGTCAGGTACTCAAGGTGCTTGCAGTTTATTATAAATGAGTGGGTTTGAGTTTAAATGAATGCTGAAGAAGATAATGGTCAGGTGTAGGTTCAAAATCTCCCAAGGCAGGGGATATACTCAATGGCTTGGTTGACCCAGAAATACCCTTTCTCATGAATGAAATAGACTATTTGTTCCTTCAGATGGCTCAGATTCTATAAGTGATGAAATTGCAACTGAACTGTCTAACAAGTTAGCACTGCATTATTAGCAAGAAGCAGGTACTTTCACATTCAAAATGAAGATCTGGAATCTCAGGAATTAAACGCCTGACACAGTAGAAACAACTACCACACCAAACTACAACCACATGAAGCAGTTGACTTCTAAAACCATAATAGATTTATCAGTACCATGGCTAGTAAAGTATGTGAAATTACAAAATCGCCAGGAAATAGCTGAGGCAAGCATGTTACTATGGAGATATGGAGAGAGGATGCATGGGCTGGTCCAGATACTCAAAATCCAAGTAGGGAAGAGCTACAACCATTACGTGAAGTGCAAGGAGAGTTAGTAAGAATTTAGCAGCCATGTGGTAAATTCTTTGCCCCATTATGTTTCTATTAAATTTTCACCCTTTAAATTCAGTTAAATCGCTGTACTGAATCACAGGAGAGTGATTGATTTTCTTGCCTGGTGGGTGGCATGTGTGTGAGAAATAAATTCTCAAGATGGTCCATCTTCAGGAATAAGGGGCTCCAGGAAACTGCTAGTCCAAACATAGTTTGTTGATTTTCAGAATACTAGGTACCTGGTGGTGGTGGTGTGCCGTGGAGTCGGTTCCTACTCATAGGGACCCTGGAATATGCAAGCAGGATGAATTGAGGGAGGCAGAAATGAACCTGTTCAAGGACTAGGAACTTTAAATAAGAATGCTACCATCAAAGGAAAGTTAGGTGACATTTGGGAAAGATTGTTAACCTCATAGTACTCAGTCAGTGAGGGACCTGGGGAAGGACTATTCTCGAGCTGAAAGAATAAAATTCTTTGTAAAATGGTGTGCGGCACGTCTCCCCAGTCTCCTAGGTTTGGCACTCCATTTTGCAAAATTAAATTTAAAAGCCCCCTTCTTTCTAAAATGAGTACAGATTGGATTTCTTGAGCATTTGTTGGTAATCATTCATGGTGACTCATTTGCAACCTTATACTGGATAAGGCAGTCTGCCCCACTTCTCCATCCAGAGACCCACTGGGGTAAGGTTCTAGTCATGGCTTTGTACTGACTCACCAGTAGCCAAGAGGGACTAAGGCAGTATGGGGGTATGGACAACATTTTTCTCCTGTGTGGTCCCCTGAGTTTGCTGTAGGAGAAGGCCATCCATGGCTCCCATTTCCCTGAACATGAATTAGGAAGCCCTCACAACCTGTATTAGAGTCTTAGTGTGGCGCTAATGTGCTGGACTGCAAGCTCACCAGCCAGTTCACCACCCACTCCTCAGAAATCCTAAACAGGGTCGCTATGGGTCAGAACTGACTCGATGGCACTTAACAACAACAGCCTTTATTGCCCTGCAAATCAGGATTCTCTTGCCGGCAGTCAAAAGTGAAATCACAGCTACAGAAAACTAAGTAAGTAGCTAATCAAAGTGTCTCTGCTGCAGAACCATTCCCAGAGTTATGCCAGGAATTTAAAAAATAAGCGCTGTAAGTACAATCTGATGGCAAGGAATTCATTTTGAAAATTAGGCCATAGTTTTACGCAGTGCAGTGTGTTTCCTTGTCTTGGATTAATTTCTTCTGCTTTTTCTTTTGAGGCTGCGTTTGTTCCGCTTTAATATGTAAGAGTTGACTCTCTCTTGATGGTGTGTAGAGTTAACTGCCGTATATTTTCACTTCTCGCAACTCTTAATTGATGCTGGATTCCCATATTATTACATGAAGAAAAGGTTCTTTATCTTAAAAGTGTAGTATAAAAAAATTATGTTCATCTCTGAAAGAGACTGGACGACTTTATAACATCCTGGTTTCTAAAGTCATCATTAGCCTCTTGGGAATTACAGCTCACCTGTGGTTTCATTTACCCCAGATAATGCTGGGATTTTGTTGTTAATTTATTTATGTTTTTTAATAGTACATTTTCCTGTAGTTAATGGGCTACTTTTATGTTACTGTTCTGAGTGTTTTTCTTAGAAAGATATATATATATATAAAACCTGAAATATGGGAACATGGTGACTCTGTAGGATAAGCACTGGACTACTAAACACAAGGTTGGTTGTTTGAGTCTACCAGCTGTTCCTATAAAGAGTTACAGCTTCAGAAGCACTATGCAGATTTGCTGTGAATCAAAGCTGATGGCACTTAACCACAACAACCTAAAGAGTACTTTGCCAATTCCTTATTGGCGGTTAGTAATTTAGTGCTTAACAACTTCACCACCAGAGCTTCTCCTTCAGTCTGAGTTCTAGAGTGCTTGAAAATGAAATGCTTGAGTCTCCAATTTTCTTTGTATCTTGACCCAGCTGAAGAATATTTTCCTAACTTTCAGATCTGAGACAGAAGTAATTGTGTTTGATTGCTCGGTGTTGTGTTTGGATTGGTTTCACATAGTTAACAAGGTTTACTATGAAAAAGATGCAGGGGAAACAGGTCTCTTCACTGAGTGTTTCATTTTGTAATTAACAAGTTGTGGTGTTTCTATTTGAAGTCATTGGAGATATTTGTTGATTCTAAGCTCCGTTTTGTGGTCCACTCATTTGACAAATTTATCCAGAGGCCTTGTGCCCCCAAGGCATTTTCAGAGAAGCTGGAGCTCCAGCCCACAGACCTTTGGGCAGCTAGCTCTCCACCACGCTTTGAGGTCTGATGTAGTGACATCCTGAGTCTCAGGTTCTTAGAGCTTCTTTGAATGGAAGGCGGAGATCCTATCCACAGGTGGGCTCTAGACACAGGCTGACTTGTGTGATGAGAAGGAAGAGAGGGATGTTACGTTGACAGTAGACAGGTTAGAAGCGGCATGGTAAGCAGAGAAGTTTCCAGTCATTTGACTTTTTTCTGAATGTGAGCCCACAAGAAATATCAAGGCTACAGGCTCAAGGACACAGAACTTGTTCCTGTAGATTGGGGTCCTTTTTTTAGGTAGTGTGGGACCACACTGTAACCCAAACCACACTGCTGTAGGCCTCCGCACCAAGAGGTAGATGTGGAAGCAAAGGGGGTCCCCTACTGAGACCCCAAGGCACCCTGGGAGAAGCTCAGATGTGACCTAGAGAGCAGATTCTCTGAGCCCAAGGAACATTGAAGGCATGGATGCACACAGATGAGATGTCCAGAGGGTGGTGACAAATGGTGCTAACAGGGCTTTGAAGTGAGTCACAGAGTGGGACAGCGGACTGATACACGGAGCCACTGGGACATAGACCGAGTGTGGGTGATTATGTAGAAACGGTATGTATAGACATCCACGACCAGTGGGACATTTGAGTTACATGTGCCCACCTTCATTATTCTGCAGTGCTTTTTGTGAAGTCTCATTCAAACCAGTAACTGGAGAGCTGAAGTCCTCTTCGGAGAGTCAGGAGAGATCGGACACTTTGTAGCATGTGAAGTAGTGTTTGTGATGACATGTTACAATAACGTTAGTATAGACTCCAACAATCATGGACACCCTCAGCATCCTGATCAGAAAGTGTTTCCTGAATGTACTTTTGTTGTTGTTGTTGTTAAGTGCTGTCCAGTCAGTTCCGACTCACAGTGACCCTATGTGGGGTTTCCGAGGAGCAGCCTGGTAGATTTGAACCACCAAACTTTAGGTTATCCATCCAGTGCTTATCTGAATCACTCAGGATCAGCATTTATGAAGAGACAATGTTTGATATTTTCATTTTATCTCACATTTTTTAAAGATGATGATGTTCTTTTTGCAGCAAGTACAAGGGGGCTTCCCAAATTTCGAGTGGGAAATTCCATTATCTTTTAATTCCATTTTTCCACGACTGTTGAAACCCCCTCGTATGGTATTTTCTTTATTTGGATATCACAGTTGATCAGAAATATTCCTCTGGGTGAGCAGAAATCTTTTCTTCTTGGACCAGTGAACTCAATAAAACTCATGATGTTAACATGCCACATCTCACGTCCTCACACCCTACAGGACTGAGGTGCTGTGGCTCTGTCAGGAGCCCAAAGCTATGACCCCAGCATTATTCACCAATAAAAGCTGATTCACTCAGGTTGTAAGCAGGTGATGTTTTCTTGTATGTTCCTCCATAGCATTCAGGGCTGGAATGCATTCTGAATCTGCTGTTGGCTGGCTTTGCCTCCTCATCTGTAAATTGATCTTGACATGCAATGAAATATTTCCTGCAGGCTTAGACTATCCTGGCAGGTGTCACCTCTCCTATCTCAGGTTGCGTGTTGTCATTAGGTGATGGGGATGAACCTGCCTTTATCGTTTTCCTGCTCAAGGGAAATAAGCATTATTTTACTTATTTTACTGATACAGTCAGCTCCCCATTTTGATTCAGGCTCTATTTTAAAGCTTGATGTGAAAAGTAGACAGTGTTATGGATTGATGTCTTTTGGGGGTTGGGTGATGCCTGTTAATCTGTCAGTCTTTGAGGCTCAGATTGCTGGTTTTGTGAGTGAGAAGAAGTCTCCTCTTTGGGGAAAACAGGGAAGCTGTGAAAATGGGTCACAGTCCAGTTGCTCCCCAGCCCAGAGGGAAGGAAGTCTGAGATAGAATGACAACAGGAACTCTTCAATTTAGGAAAATTGCTTGTGGGAGAGTGTGTGTTTAGCAGATGCTTTCTATTCAAAACAGTCAATATGTAATACATGTTAACTTTTATCAAAATAAGGCATTATTCCATTTATACATGTATACTCATACATCTCGGTGTCCATTGAGATTCTTTTCTTACCAGACTGTAATTTGATAATATGTCTTCCTAAAAACGTCATAGAAGTTGCCCTATATGTTCAAATGAAAAGCTTGAATAGGAACCAGAAAACTTTGAAAAGCTTAAGCCCTTTATTTCTTACTTGGTTGTTTTTAAGTGCCGTTGAGTCAGTTCTGACTCATAGCAACTCTGTATAGGGTTTCCAAGGAGCAGCTGGTAACCTTGAACCGCCAATCTTATGGTTCAAACCGACCTTGCAGTCCAGTGCATTAGCCCACAGTGCCACACCCAGACATGGTAGATAATGCTAATTATTGCATGGTGTGTGTATTGTTGTTCAGTGCCAGGGAGTCGATGCCAACTCATAGCGACCCTGTACAGAGTTTCCGATGAGCGACTGGTGAGCTTGAACTGCAAATCTTGCAGTCCAAGATAAGACTCCTCATTTCTACATTTGTCCTGCTTGAACCTGGCATTTTTGGAACGCTGACTATTCCCTATGTGGCCAAGGCCACGAAGTCTGTTTCTTAGGGCTTCTGCCAGTTGTCCAGCTGTACTTTGGGTTTCTGGTTTTGTTACAAGCATTCTTGCTTTGCTTTAATTGTTGTTGTTAAGTGCTGTTGAGTCGGTTCTGTCTCATATCAACTCTGTATAAGGTTTCTGAGGAGTGCTTGATAGGTTTGAGCCACCAACCTTAGGATTACCTACAGCACCAGCTTTTTTTTTTAATGAAAACTTTGGAGATTTGTGGCAACCCTGTATGAAGCACCATTTTCCAGCAGCATATGGGAAACTTCATGTCTCTGTGTCATGTTTTCGTAATTCTTAACAACATTTCAAACATTTTCATAATGCTACTGCATACTCAGTAGACTACAGTATAGTGTAAAATAACTTTTATATAAAAATGTGTGTGACTCACTGTGTTAACTGTAGCAGTCTGGAACCTCATCTAAACAGCTCCAAGGTATGCTGTACATACTTTGTAGCATACTTGGTATGCTACACTTTTCTGTTTTGCTTATGGAAATTGTTCTGGAATACTTTCATAAAACGAATTCTAAGCTTCTTTCGTTTTCATTTTACTTTAAGTTAGCTTGTCTGATACTCCTTGGCAAGTAATTCCATTTCTTCCCCTTTTCAGCTGAGCTTTCAGCACAAGATTGGAATCCTTTACTGCAAAGCAGGCCAGAGCACAGAGGAGGAGATGTACAACAATGAAACGGCAGGACCAGCTTTTGAGGAATTCCTGGATCTTCTGGGCCAGAGAGTAAGACTGAAAGGATTTAGTAAATACCGAGCTCAGCTAGACAATAAAAGTAAGTTCCATATTTGTGGGTGTGGAAGTTTAATTCTCCAGAGTTCGGCCGACTGTGTAAATCTAAGCTAGTGATTGCATGTCCTCATGTTCTTGAACCTAGAATGGCCTAGCAAGCTCATTTGGGGTAGAGTTTAGATTTCCTCAGATGAGCAAAGGAAGTATGTTTTTGAAGAGATCTGGGCTTCACATAAACTCAAAAGGTCAGTTCTTTTTCCTGTGTAACAGCACTAAGAGGCACCCTGGGGTTTCAGGAAGAATCCTTTCTTTCTCTGGCCTCATCTCTTCCTTATACTCCTATATAGCAAACACTGCATTCATTCCAAGAGACAGAATATCCTTAACACATTCACTGATGCCAAGTCATCCGGTTTTTGTTTTTGTTCCCGAGTTCAGGATATAACTGGGGAGTTGGACTAGATAGAAGTGAAAAGCACCTCATTTTTTGGTGACTTTAGTGAGGCTCCGCTGATTGGCAGGCCAATTAAAACCAGGAGCTTTCAGCCCTCCTGTGACCTGATTCTCTTTCATTATCATCATCTACATAGTTCCATGCCTTAGTATGAGCCGCATAAATTCTTTGTTTCTAATCTTGGCATTTGCCATGTTATTTAGTTGCTATCAGTTTCTAAAATTCCAAAGAGGGTAATTTTTCTGCTGTTCTCATTCATGCAAGCAAGGAGCAGGTAAGAGTCTGAAATTGGGGAATCTTAGAGACCTGTGGACCAGTCCTAGTCTGAGGAGACTTGCCATGTGGCTAAGTGAGTGCCCAGTTTCAGAGGGTGGCACAGCCTGAATGGACATGAAGATGATGGCCTGAGGAGTATGTGGCTCTCCTCTCTCCACTAGTCTCTCTACATCTCCAAATCCTGTCCACAAAGTCCAGTCCATTTGGGGGCCATCTTTCAAACTCCATTTTGGTCATATTTGTGCTTTTTGATTTAATGAATCAAGTCATTATGAGAACCTCTCCTGGGTTATGAGCTTTTAGATAAATTCAGTTTTGAACCATAAACCCGAAGACAGTGTTAATGCACATGTGGGCCAGAGTTTATCCTGTGTGTGTGTCAGGGTTGGAACTTAGCTAACACATGAAATCCATATTACTTATGCCTCAGACATGCAACAATTAGATAATAATTCACAACCTGCAATGTATTAACATATATATTATGTATATAGGCATATATATATATATATAATATATAAGAAGATAAACGAGCCCTTTTCAAGTTCTTCTCTTTTCTTTCAAATTCCCCTTATCTGCAAACCACCAGGCACCCCCTAAAGGCACAGATACACTGTCCTAAGGAGTGTCCTTCCTGGTTGAAAACACCTGCTTAACATGTACTACTGTAGCTAATGAGCAGGTACTGTTCTCGTGAGATGGAGAGAAAGACTTAAGAACTCCTTATAGGTACATTCCAGTGTAAACACTTGTCTATATATGAGATTTGACATCAGCTCTGAATTGTTATGACTTTGGAGATATCTTAGGTATATTACAGGTATAGTATTATAGCACCTTTGTTCATTGAGATGATAGCATAAGAGCTATTTTTGATATGTTGACTCTGATAATCAGTAAATGTTTATACTATGAGCAAGGCATTTTGCTGGGCTCTCTGAGAGATGCAAAGAAGGCTAAGTCACAACACCCTTAGCAAAGAGCAGAGCAGCTTTAAGACCTGTCTCATGGGATGGTCACATAAAAATATGTCTTTCATGGACAAAGAAAAAGATTTCTCCTTAAATTTAGGAAAATCAATTCAAGCCTTGGTCAAATATGGGCCTCACTTTTCTCACTAGTAAAATTCAGGGCATTAGGCTAGCTAGACTATCATGCATCCTTTACCCCTTAAAAATAGGTTGCTTCATTTTTAAATACAAAATGAGATGGAGTCAGAGTGAAGAGGATTTTGAGATGCCAAGATGCTTTGCTGACCAGAGAAGAGTGTAACCACTATGCCATGGACAGCTCGCATATGCTCTTGGTACAAAGAGTGACAAAGTCGGGGAACACAGTAATGGTCTAGATCTCTTTTTGAATAGAAATGTTTGCAGCAAACTCCTGAACAAAGTTGTCAGTGTACTATCTTCCATACCATGCTGATAATGAAGATAAAAGCTTTCTTTTAGAAAACTTTAAATACTGCTTGCGCTAAACAAACTGACCATATTTCCCAAAATTTGTCTTTTGTTGCGATTTCTTGAACCTGAATACTGTTCACTAGACTATGACAGCATTTGTCAGCACATCTCACTGAATTTTAACTATCCAATGACATGGTGTCAAGATGGGCTTTGTAATTGAAAATACCTGGGCTATTTTGTCACTTGAGCTTCAGTATTGTTAGCTGTGATTCAGTTTCTCATCAAGGAGCTTTTTACCTTTTCCTTGTAACTTGCTTGCTTGTTTACTTTCAAAGAAATGTTTGATGTTAAGGTTCTGAGGCAAGGATCAAAATGGAATATCACCTTTGATTAACTCCTATGAAAAATAACAAATGTACTGATCCTATTAATGAACAACAGCAATAATTAATTAGTTAAGAAGAAAATGCCTTTGTATTGGGAATATTTGGTATATAGACTATTGGATGAATTTTGACTATCTGCAAATTGATTGATCTATATTGATAATATAAATACTTAATACTCTGTTTATTCATGAAATTAATGTTCCTCTTCAGAATTTTCACAAGCTGTACCTATTTTTTTGTTCCTAGAGAATTTCCAGAATGATCTCAAAATCAGACATAAATACTGGAAAGAAAGGCATACAATAGGATTCTGAAAGAATCCTATATAATAAATAATAAAAGTCCATGAATTTTAATTTATTGTTAGAATAAAAATATTAATATTTTAAGTTATAACCATTAATTCAAAGGGACTCTGGTAGCGTAGTGGTTACAAATCGGGCTGCGAACCTTAAGGTCAGCGGTTCGAAACTACCAGTCACTCCGCGGGAGAAAGATGAGGCTTTCTACTCCTGTAAAGATTTACACCCTCGGTAACCCTGTACAGGGTCGCTATGGGTCGGAACCGACTCGACGGCACTTAACAACAACAATTCTCTGGTAGCGTAGTGGTTACAAATCGGGCTGCAAACCGCAAGGTCAGCAGTTCAAAACTACCAGCTGTTCCGTGGGAGAAAGATGAGGCGTTTTGCTCCCGTAAAGATTAATAGCCTCGGAAACCCTGTGCAGGGTTGCTTTGAGTCGGAACCGACTCCACAGCACACAACAACAACAACTCTCTGAAGAAGTAATTTCAAACAAATTGTAATAAAACTTTGTTGAAATAACACTGAGCAACATTGTTTTTCATTGATTAAAAGAAAAACAAGCCGCTATAGAAATCAGAGCGGGGAAAGCAGTCTGTATTCTGACTTTTTCCCGAATATCTTTTTGTTTTCTTTTTCTTATATGCAGGATGACTCAAAAATATACCACGAGAGTATTACTGAATAGTTACTGTGTCTGAAACTCTAAATCTGAAGTAATCTGACTGATAATGCAAATGGGGTTTGAATTTGCAAAGAATCCTTTTGCCTTTCCGAAAATGAATAGGGTTTGAATGTCAGGGTTTTTAAAAAACACATGTCAGTGTATAATATGCAGTTAGAGATTACATTCCTTCTCCATTGTCTTAGTTCATATGACTATCATACTGTATTTTCTGTTTAAAGGATAAGAATAATTACATCATTCTGTGAAAGCAATTTTTAAAATAATCATGTTTTACCCATTTCCATGTTAAGTCAAGTCTGTTTCATTTTATCAGGCTCCTGGAAAATCAAGAATAACTAAGAATTAACCGTTAGCCATAAACACAAAAACTCACAGAAAAAGAAGGGAAAAGAATCACTGCTGGTTAATTCACACCTTCCCATAATTGCACCCTGACTGAACTCTGTCTCTCTTCTTTCTTCCTTTGTTCACCTGTACGCCTCATGGGAGGAGTTCCTGGCCCTCAGTGGGCCACCTAATGTTACTGTGAAGATAGACTCAAGTAGTATGCAGGAAACCAAAGCAGGTGGGCAAGAGCAGAGGGAAAGAAAACCGAATCTTACAGTGTGTCGTGAGGGTCCAGGAAGATCAGTATCAGGATGCCACTAGGTTCAAGTTCTGTTTTGCTTTTTGTTTTTCAGTTAAATCTGGTTTTTGTATTATTGAGTTTCTAAGCATAAAGTCTACAGTTTATATTTGGCTAACTTCTTTTTATAATCAATTTTTGTTTTTAGCTGATTCTACTGGAACTCATTCCCTGTATACCACGTACAAAGATTATGAACTCATGTTCCATGTGTCAACAATGCTGCCCTACATGCCCAACAATAGACAACAGGTACGTCTTCATGCAGCCTCTTCCGGTCTAGAGTTAGTACTAAACCTGAGGCCAGCCCATTGGCAATATAAACAAATTGAGAATTTGCAAAGAACCATTATTTTGTTTTAGGCTGTGTTTCTTATCTTTCTTTCTCTTGAATAGCATTAATAAGCTTTAACTACAACTGCTAACCACAAGATTGGAGGTTCAAACCATCAGCTGCTTCTTGGAAACCCTATGAGGTTGCTGTGAGTCATAACTGATTCGATGACACTTAACAGCAGCAGCAACAAATCCTATCATTAAAAGTGTTTGGACTGGCCTTAAAGGGACGAAGTATTACTATTGCACAAATTTTATTGTACTTTTTGTCTTATAAGACTTAGAAAACTCTTCCAGAATCTCCTTTATTTCTCAGGAGGCAAAAATCTTAAAAAGTATATTAATGTCAACTGTGTAATTGAAAAAAAAAGAAAAATTCTGTAACCTGAACTAAGGTTTCTGTATGTGGGTGAGTGATTTATTTGCACAGAGACCCGGTGTGGCCCCATAGGATTAGCACTGAGCTGCTCGCCACAACTTTTGTGATTCAGATTCACCAGTTGCTCCTCAGAAGCCCTATACAGGGTCACTGTGAGTTGGAATTGACTCAACGGCACTTAACGACAGAATATTATTTGTAATTCTTAGAATTGCTGTTATTTCCAACCATTTTTCCTCCTTCAGTTTTCATTGGATTTGTTGACTATTTTAGTGTATTAACCTTTTTATAAGGAGCAAAAATGTTCTTTGAATGCAGTTGCTTTCTAAAAATTGAAAACTTTTCAAAGATTGAAATAACAAATAAAACATCGTGAGATAATTTACATAGTAACTTTGTGTAGTGTATTGTAAAGGAGTCTTGGTGTGATGTTATAGGTTAAACGCTGAACTGCTCACCACAAGGTTGGTGGTTCAGACCCACTAGTCATTCCTTCCAAATCCTCCACAGGGTCGCTGTGAGTCAGAACTGACTTGGTAGCACTTAATAACAACCACAGAAATAACACTGAGTAAGTGGGTCAAGAGTTTTGCAAAGACTGGTACTAGAATGACCACTTTTCCCCTTGTTCTAATAGTATTTGAAATGCTCTGTCTACTCTCCTTAGGAGAATGGTGGGATTTTGAGGATAGTCTGGGATAGAGGAGGGAGGATATAGGAGGCGAGAGATATGGTTCCATTCCTTACCATATTTGGAATCTTGAAGACTCTTAGAGTATTACAACTAACGTCTCTCTAGAGAACACTGACTGCCTCAGTTACTTATACTCTGGATCTTACAACGGATTCATGGTGTGAGCTAATTTTAAGGTTCAGTTGAATTTCAGTTAACTCTAGAATTAAAACACAAGTTGTTTTCATGTTTAAGAAACTTAGTTCTGCTGATATCACCTAATTGCTCCTTTGGTGCTCTAAATATATTAAAGCATTGAGGACTACCTGGTGGTGGTGGTGGTGGTGGTGTGCATTGGAGTCAGTTTCAACTCATAGTGACCCTGTCAAGTCTTTCCAAGACTATAAATCTATCCAGGAACGAAAACCTCATCTTTCTCCCTCGGAATTCCTGGTGGACTCAAATGGTTGCCCTAATAGTTAGCAACCCAACACATACCCACTAGACTCCAATGACTACCTAGAGGTGGTCAATAAATGTGAAATAAATGAAACATAATCATTTTAGAGTATTTTTCTTTTTTTTTTTTTTAACACTTATGAAATTCTACAAAGGAAGAAAAAAAATCATCATTTTCCAAAAACGAAATTGAGCCAGCTTCCTTCTGTTCTTCCATCACTAGTTGCAGGAATGGCCTTAGACCCTACAATTCCCATGAGAAACCGAGGCTCTTGACTTTAGGTGACATTCGTCCTTTTTCATTGTTCTTCTGTTGGTTATTGCTAGCTCCGTTTTTTATGAGCTAGCGTTACAATCAGTAGGTCCATGCATGTATGGCTGTTTTAACTTAAAGAAAGTCTGTTTATTTGGAAAACTTCCAACTAGAGTAACTGAATTATTAGCCTAATTTAGACTGGTGCATTTGTCCAGCAGATACTTGTGAATCATTTAGTAATTAAACTCAGCAGGACTTGTTGCCCAGAAAACTCATAGGGCTTACTCACACCAAGAAAATCTGTCAGTACTTCAGGAGAACTAGAGCCAGTGACTTTTGACCCCAGTTATTGAGCTTTCAAACCACAAAGCGCTTTGCATCACTAATTACTTGAGTCATTGGACTCCAAACTGAACGGGCCCTATCTACGATCTCTTGTGGAAACCTCTGAGGTTATGAAGTCTGCTTAACCTTACTGTTTCCTAAAACCAACACTACTGACTTCCCCTGCCCACTTTTGATTATATGGTCATTAAGCTCTGAAGGGTTATGGATTCGCTGCATCTGAAACGGTCCTAGAAATATCCTGCACATAAAAATCTGGAGAAGTAGAAAGTGAAAATGTGTGAATGTATATGAGAGAGAGATTTGAACATCAGGAAAAATGGAGATTTAAAAAAAACAAATCCTGTAACTTGTAAAGTGCTGTAGAGTCCGTTCCAACTCATAGCAATTCTGAATAGGGTGTCTGAGGAGCATCTGGTGGGTTTGAACCGCCAACCTTGTGGTTAGCAGTCCAATGTTTATCACACATTATAAACTCTGTACCCTAAAGACTTCTTTGGGTAATTAAAAAAAACAAAAAACTTGCGTGATAACCTATGCCACTGAATAAATTATGTTGAGGAAATAGATGTGGAACATGTGAAAAAAATATTTTTTAATAAATATGCTTACTGTTGTATGTGGAAGAGATATGGTCCTGTATGTGATCTAGTAGAAAGTGTGTGTGCTCACTGCACTACCTGGCAAGTCAGTGCAAGATAGAGTGAAGAATGGGTCAGTTACTTGCCCCATGAGTAAAGTTCTTACTCTTTCAAGAAGTCTTGATATCATTAAATGCAAATCAAAGCCCTAGTCTAGATAGCAAACGGGCTGATTTGAACACTGCATTAAAAAGGATTCTAGAGTCACACCCAAGGAGAAAGCAACTCTATATTGTAGAGATATGTTTCCTGAGCATGTTTGGATGAGATGTTGTAAACACCTCTCTCTGAGTGTTAGAATTCTCTGACGCTTGGTTGACGCTTCCTTCTTCTTGGATGAAAAAAATAAAAAATCCACAAAAACACTTCAGCAGTATTTCCAGTTGTCAGGAGCAAGTTCTAGAGCCAGTGTCATGTGATCTGGGGCAGACCGCTCATGGTTACTTTTTGGTAGTGGTTTTATCTGTTTTGGTCACATATCTTGATGCACTTAGTACCCAGAACACCTAGAAAATAGTAACTAGTCAGTATGCATTTATTGAACGAATGACCAAAACCATTTTCAGATGGTGGTTATGAGGACTTGACGAGTTAATACATGGGAAGCACTTAAAACAGAGCTTGGCACAGAGCGTGTTCCTGATGATTTATCATTCACTGGTTAGAGGAGTGGAGTATCTTAGTTTACTTATTTGCATTTTATTTTCTTGCCACCTGTCCTAGAGATCAATTATTAAATACTAAGAACTGATTAGTTAAGAGAGTAAAGGGATAATTATCAATTTCAAAATATCATTTTTCCACTGTTGTTTAATGAAATATTTTGCTAATCATGAGTTGTCCTAAGAATGTTCTGTTTGTCGGTCGCTTATGCTGCTGTGTAATCTGGAGAGATGCACTTTCCAGATGTGTTACCGGTTGTACTGGTTCTAGAACACTTTCTTTATCTCTAACCCACCACACTCGTTCCCATGAGTTATGTGGATGCCAGGGCGTCAGATGTTTGAGATGACCAGCTGAATTTATGAATGCAGTTTGAAGCTGACATAACTTAGTGAAGTGAACTTGTCTATACCTGACTTGTTCCTGTAATCTTGGCCTCATTAACACCAGTGTTTTTGACTGGCCCACACTCGTCTACATCAGATCTCATTTCTGATGTTTGTTCTTGTAATAAATCAAGCTGAAAGCTGATTCCAACATGTATTAAGAGTCTTTAGAGAGTTCACCCAAGTTTAATCTTTGGAATGTCTCTGACTTTTACAAGGAAACCCTAACCAGACCCAGGGAATGATAAGAAACACTGCTCGCAGAGACGACTCTTTTCAGTTCATTTCCATAAATCTATCTGGACCTGTTTCATAGTCCAAATCCCTTCCCCAGGACTTGTCCCCTATGAGATTCCATTTTACTTGTTCTATAGACAGGTCATGTTTTAGGTGTCAGGAGATATTATCCATGGAAATAACTTAACAAATTAGCTGGTCTAGTAGTTTTCAAATTTCACTCTGGCAGTGAAACTCTTCAAACTGAGGCTAAAAGACAAATCAGATGAAGGAGCTCAATGCCCGCCCAGCACGGAGGAAAACGTCTCTTTTTTTAAACGTGTGCATAAAGTTGGGGAGTTGCTCTGCTATCTCTGATGGCAGGACATCAGAGACCCAGGGAGGTACCTAAGGGGGGGTACCTGTAGGTGCCTGAGATTACATTTGAAAATGACTGATCTTACTCAAGACCAACCTCTTCTTTGTGTAGAAACTCAATGACGAGATTAGAACCTAAGGACCAGGGTCTAGAATTTGTGATTGATTTTATGGGATTATAACAATAATTTTTTGCTAAATTATGAGTTCATCGCTTGAAATTCAGAAACTTATAAAATAATCATTACATGATACAATTTTATCTTTGACCAAAGCCTGGCTAATTACCAGATGTTGCTTCTTTTTTTTTTTTTTTTTAATGTTTTATTATGAATTATGTGATAGTTTACATGGAGAACATTAGTTTTACATTCATCCTATCCTATATTGTTTCACTGCCATGGTTACAATCCCCTCCATGCATCATCAACCAACCAAAGGGTTTACCCTGCAAGCCTGCCCCCCTGTCATCAGCACACAGCCCCGCTCCCTCTCTGTGTCTAAAGTCCCCAGCTGCACC